TTTCACTATTTGTTTCTTACAAACATCAAAGAGATACCTAAGCTTATTACCCTTTGCTTTCTGAACAGAAATGTGATTTATTCAGGTAAGTTTTATTTATTTCAGAAGTGCAATACCCTGTGCTGTACATCTAGGGATAATTACCGTATTTCATCAAAGTTGTTTAACTTCATGCCATATGACAATGGCATTAAACAACTTGTGTAAATAGTCAGCCATATCTAGTATGGCTCGGTGCTGGCCAAGGTCAGGGAACTGAAATGAGCTAGGGAATTTGTTGGAAATTCCAGATGGGACACAAGTTCAGCTGCTTTCTCATAAGAGTTCGGTTGCAGCAAAGAAGGAAGTACTAAAGGTCAGGGCTGAGTTATATCTTACTATGGATTTTAAGAACATTTCCCACATCCCCTGTGGTATGTATCTGTCCAAAGCCATGATCTATATGAGAGGAAGGAAGATCCATATGGCATATGAGAACTGTATGGCACTACATACATACTCGTGGCTACTGTAAATTAAATACTGAGGCCGAAGAATCATCATCTGATGTAGACAGACTACGTACCAAGATCACACCTGAAGTCTAAATCTAGCCATTATGAGCCAAGGAGATGGGTAGGACCAGAGAAACAGAAGATGCAGAATGTCAGAAATTATTGGACTCAGTGGTCTAATGTTCAGACTCAATGATCTTAGAGGCCTTTTCCAACTCATGATTCTAAATGAGGGGCATAGACAAAGCTTCCCAAGGAAACTCATGGATGCTGGACCAGATGATTTCTAGAAGTTGCATCTAACTTAAATTATTCTATGAGTCTCTGACAAAAAGGATGTTGTGATGTACAGTGCCAGCCTCTCATAGGAAGCTGGGGCAGGACTTGATCATATATGAGGAGATCTCTGGGCCTGACTTCTAAGTTCACATTTTTTGTGAGTGTAATTCCAGTGGGACTTGGAGTAAGGAGTGTGCAGTCTTCTCTGAAGCATTTGGTTTCCCAGTTGCAGTATTAGACATTGAGGAGTTCACTATATAAGCACAACTATTGGACAATCTGGAGCTCCAGTTGTTGAAACCTACTGAAATCTTTGAAAGACTCTTACCAAGTTAAAAAAACAAATAATGAACAAGGAGACATTTTAGTATGCAGTCTATGCTTTTCCTCTCATACTTTTGTCAGAATAGCAAGAAGGGGTAACCATGGCCTTTGCAAGGGACCCAAATAAACACCTAGCAAGGGCTGATCTCCTCCCTAGTGCCAACTCTTTCATTTAAAACAGAGAAGAATATCAGGTTTATTTCAGAAAAAAATCATTCTTCTGAAATTCCTAGGAACATGATTTCAATGTACTTGAAAGTACATCTGAAATGATGTTTCTACCAGTGAAGTTTCGCCTGCAGGAGGCCCTTTATCAAGTCAGGGAGAGCTTGGGATGAGAATTAACAGTAAAAGCAGTAACAGATACAGTAATTTTGTCATTCTGCCTGTGTTATGCTCCATTATGTTAAAGATATGCAAATTAATAGGAATACGACCATTGCTTCACATACAAATGTCAATATTGTGACTGTTCACTTTTAGCAGTACTCCACCCAGCTTTATCACAAGAGGAAACAAGCTGAAGGAATCTAACTGAACAGATACCACCTGGCCAATACCACTAAATTACCGCACCTATTCTAAGGAAAAACAATACATCAGATACACCTGGGTAAAAAAAAAAAAGTGAGGCTTAAATGGAACTTATGTCATCTGAAATAACCTACTGCTTCCAAAGTGAAACCCTACTATCTTCCCTGAAATTTTCCATTCTTTTCTATACAACTGAAAGTCAAGGCAAAGAGACCATTTTGAGGCACAAGTCAAAGTCATTTCTATGTGTGACAGCAACAAATATCTCACTTTGTGCTAGGCTGAAATGTTATTGCCATCGCTGAAAAAAACAAAACAAAACAAAACAAAACTGCATTCCCTGAGGGAAGTTTTACCCCATGCCAGTTCATGGGTATTTTTCAGAGCTCCCTGCCTAAAGAGTCACGACTTCCAACAATCTCCTTAGTTGGTCAGGACAACAAGCACCAGAGAAGGTTGCAATGAAAACTTGACTAGACCTTAGGGATCCTAACTCTGAGCTATGTGCTTTAAACTCGGTAATATCCACCTTCAGTCTTATCCTCCAGAAAACTTCCTTGATTTATTCAGCCTCTCCTGAAGGTTCATGCCATTCTAATTTGCTTCTTCAGTCTCAAACAACAGATTTTCCACCCCCTTTTCACCAACTCACAAAAACATTGGCATCTTCCCATCTATCTATAACTGTTTTCCATTCTCTCCCTCTTCTCCCTACTTCGGTCTGTAATTACTCTATCCATGCTCATACATAAGTTATGCTCTTACCCCTCTCACTGGGGTATGTGAACATCTCAGAGAAAAATTTTGGGGAGGCAAGTTGTGTATGAAGGATGAAGACACGTGAAAAGTCTTCTATAATTAAGAAAACGATAATGTCACTCTTAGAAAGCTTTAATAACTCCCCATAAGAGCACCTTGCTTGCGTACCCTTACATTTTGCATTACTGTAGGATATAAGCATCATCAGTTCTGTAACATATTAATTTTCACAGCATCACATTTAGCAAAGGAATGCAAGTAGTCCTTAATTTAGGGATGGGGTACCAAGATAGAAATCCTGGGCGCTAAGAACCTATGCCAACACTGATATCCTCTGAGTTCTTGAGCAAATCATTTAACCGAAGCCCCATGCTTGTGACCACTCCCAGGTCTATCCTTCTTTATCCCAGAAATATTGGTCAAAACCCACTTGTTTTCTCACCAGAAAACTCAAAGTTAGTTGATACTAAAGGAATTAAACTAATCCCATTTTGCACAATATGCCTCAAACACAGAGGTGGACCTCATATCAGGTTTTTAAGGTCTGCATGGCTGGACATATGTAATTGTGTTTAGAAGGTTACTCAAAAATTGGTGATGGTTTGAACAGATAACATTTGAACAACCATCCTGTATTTACATGAGGCTTTGGCTAATTTTCAGAGCTCTTATAACTTCATGTCAGTGTCAATCCTCTATAAAATTCCTATTGTGTGGGCTTTTACTGAGGGCAGAATTGGAATTGGGTGCTTTGTTTCCAGATGTTATATTTATCATTGCTCCTAAGCTAGTTACAGGCAGAACTTGTTATTTGCTCAGAAAATTAACTTCTGACAAGTCTAAAAAGTTAGATGCTTTGTCAATGCCAGATATGACAACTTAAATATATAAAATATATCTGTAAAATGTATATTAAAAAGTGAAGTTTCTTCCAGTACTACCTCTAATGGTTCACATCTGCTGCCATTTAGATATGAGAGGGGAGAGGGGAGAGGGGACCAGCCACAAGTGCCACAAACCCCAGAATGTAGGTGTGTGTGACTGCTCAGGAGTGCAGTCCTTTATAGCATCAAGATTTTAATGTTCTTTGGCAGGAATAGAAGACAAACCTGTACTGTCACAATTGCTTCAGGGTCTCACAAACCATGGAACTAAAATTCCCCAACGGGTATGTTATGTTTATGTGTTGCCTCTTAGTCTGCCTTTCCAAGCAAAGAAATCCAGGCATGGAGGAAAACTAGAGCAAATTCTAGATTTGCCATTAAAGCAACATAGACACAGTTGTCTTGTCTCTGAAGAGTCAAGCCTAAGCTTTGATTGCAACTACCAAAGGCAGCACATAAAGCATTCAGCATTGGGGTTTATGGGAAGGCTTTAATATAGAAAAGAAAGAGGGTGGAGAGTGGGAGTATTTGATATACCTCTCTTTGAATGCCAACAGCCACAGACAGCCACTACTTTGAACCACAAAGCCTCCCAGCATGTTATATTTCAGTGCATGGCTTTGCAAGGTCCATTTACAAGGAAGAGTAAGAACTCATACCATATTCATGAGGGCAGAAAACTAATCTGGAAGATCTTTGAGGTGCCCCTGCTACACACTGAGATAATGCTGTTAGTAGTAAGGCTACACTGTGGCTGAAGAAAGATTGTGGCTTCTGTGACCAATTTCCTAACCACTCAGGGTCAGATGTCCTAGCACATGTCATCACTGGTTACTGCTGAGGTTACCTTAGTGATTGTTTATAACATCCATGCTCAAATCTAAGTTAACATTACAGCTGCACTTCATGAAAATGGGCCAATATGTACTTCTCTTCTTTGTCCTGTCAACAAGAGTGTGCAGGTGCTTTCATGAAGATGAGTTGGCTGTCAGTACCTTCCCAAATATCACCAGTGTCACCCGTCACAAAGGCAGATGGGAAATGTTGAGAGCCTGGGCAAAGGCTGCCTTTAGAATTGTCCAATGCCTAAATCAGAGCAGCAGGCAGCTGGATGAAGAAGAAAGGATGGAGAAGAAAGGACAGATGGACCTTATTTGGGGAAGACACTAACCTTTATCCTATTCATTGGCCCATTTTCCTATAGGGTAGATGCACTTACAGGGAGATTTAAGGAAGGACCATATTTTTAAAAGCATTTGGCATCCAGCAAATTCCACAGCAATCTTGCCATCAGATTTTCAGAGCAGCTCCGTATCTACTGTATCTCTGAGTTCTTCAGAACAGGCAACCACTAATTTGGATACTGACAGAGAAGCTGAAGTTTCTTGATCCTTTGGTCACGTCTCCTTATTTCTACAGTCCTTTTTTAAAAATCTCCCATGAGGACCATTGAAAGTTTCAAGGTGGAAGGAAGCAGAGAACAGGCTAGATTTAGTGGTCAAATTCACCAGGATCCTGCCCCTGCAACATGGGGGAGTCTTGGCATTGATGCACAGAAGGATTAAGGCCATTTTAAATATGATCTGGTTAGAATGGTACAGTATCTAGGCCACTTTCTTCACACAAACTAGAAGCTGCGCTGAACGGTGGTCGCTTTACTCAAAGCTGTCTTGTGCTGTGTCCTTCACAGATTCCAGCAGCAGGAGTCTGTTAGAATGTGACTTACCTTCAGCCAAAATGCTTCTCTCTACCACATGTGCTACACCCATTGCCAGAGCAAAGAGAGTGCAGGCAACTGACTGCAGAAGACCTAGAGACAGCCCAGTGTCCCTCCTGGGTGAGGACATAGGACGTGAACACCTGGAAGGTAAAAGAAAACATGAAGAAGAGGAAGAGCAGCTGTGTGATTTCCCAGTGGACCATCCACTTCATGGTGAGTGCCTCTATATCCAAACTTTCTCTTAGAGTACCCAAAAACCACACTTGTTATTTTACAATTATGTACATGGCAATACCTAGCAACAGACATCACAGAATGTTTCCACTGGCTGAGTCACAGTAGATGGTCATAGCTCCTGGATGAGTCACAGGGATGGTAACTCTTCACTCTTGCCATCAAAAATTTGGAGAGCCACCTTTTGAGCTAAAGATCTACCTCAGGCCTACCAGCCCTACCAATGTTAGTGATAGGGACTGCTTTGGGTGTTTATTGCCCTCCTGCTTGGGGTGGTTACCATGCTGGGCAGCCTTACTCCCGGGGTTGTGCAATGCCCGTTTGCTGGTAAATGTGCATTGCACAACATAGGGAGACTGGCTGCTGAATGTGCCTAATCAGCTCAATGTGTTCTGTACACCTTGGACCCACTGTACGGGTGATGGAGAGGTCATCAGCACGCACACAGGCAAACCGTTTATGTGCACAGATCTGGCAGGATGTGTCAACAAACAGCAGTCTATCTTTCAGCCAAAGCACTAGGCAGTACAAATAGCCTTTTCCAGTATGTTGCACAGAGACTTTAGGCTAAGCAGGATACATGGTACCTGAACAAGACAAGTTCCTAACATTCAGGCAGCAATTTATTAGTAACATGTGACAAAAATTGCTTTAAGTTCTTTGAATTTGAGGAAAGGTAAACACAGATGTTTATACTACACTCCAGAAAACAGGTTTTCAGTAGCAGCAGAAAGGTGTTTCCTGCACAATTTGTTATTATTTACTCCAGAAAAAAAAAAAAAAAGGAGTTTCATTTAAGTCAGTTGAAAACTACTAATGGGCTCGTGTTACCACAGATGCGGGGTTACTCATCTGGCTTCCCGGAGATCCACACATCATCCCTGCTCCATACTCTGCAAGCTGGCAGTGGAAACAACTCTTTCTGTGAAATACATTTAAAAGAAAAGCTTTGTTTCTGCTGCTGGTGCTAAGGTATACATCAGTCTTGTGACAAGCTGCTGTCATCTCCTCCTCCTGCACAAGGCAGACATCAATCTTGATGCAGAGAGAAGCCTTGTAAGATAACTGGGTATTTTAGCCTCCCTCTGCCCTGTAAGCAGCACACAGCTGATGGTAGCAGGGTAAAATCCTGTTGCCTCCTCACAGAAGAGCCAGGGCTGTATGTATCTGACATTCAGAGTTGCCTCTGAGTATAAAAATGCCATATTTCATGTGTGAGGGAGTCTCCAGCTACAAGTATCACAGCAGAGGTGGGAGGTGGCTGCCCCAACTTGGCACTTAGCCTCATTGACCAGCACCATGGTCTGTATCAGCCTCATCAGTAAAGCAGGGGAGGAAGCATGTAATTATCTGCACAAAACTGAGCCAAGATGAGCAGACCCTTTCAATGACAACTTATATTTCAAAGGCATTTTAAACAAAATCCATCTGTTCCCTGGAGGCGGTGGGGTTTTGAAACCAAGCAGAGGTTTAATGATCTGCCATTTTCTAGGCTACTGGTTCCTGCAGTTATCGAGCCTTTGATAGAAACTGGCTGATGACGGAGGGATGATCCTAAAGAACTGGATTGTCATTTTCCCCACAGTGCACAAACAATGATGTTTCGGATCCTGTTCACGCACTGTGTCATTCTTAGCAGAGAGCCTGAGGTCCAGTTTTAATGCTGGTCTTTACAGCATCTTAAGCTTCAACCTTCTTCTTCCACTCAACATTAGGGGAAAATGCTGGTGGATCTTTTTCTCTTGCCCCTGGCTGTGGCTGGTGTCACCCTTCCTTGATAAAATCAGCAGCAGTACCTGCAGGACGGGTAGACTGCATCATCCCTGTAAGCAGTCTATAATCCTCACAGCTCAAGCTGATAGCAAATTAACTTCTCTTTACATGTCTATTGACTCTGGGGTGCTTCAGACGCACTTTTGGCATGATAGCTAGAGATTGGTTACGGGTCCTCTGACAAGACACCTGCGCAGTGCCAAATACCATTAGCATATGCCATGGAAGTGTCTCTAGGATCTCCCTCACAACCACACCGAGGATGCCCACAACCACCCAGGGGAACGGCACCAACCTCAGCAGCAGGAAACCTTCCTGATGTGAAAGACATCAGAAGCCCTTGGCAGGGTGCTCCCTCATCTCCCTCTCTCAGCCTACCTCTATCTATATAAAACACCTACATCATTTGTGAGGAAAGGCACTGGGCTCTGTCTAGGCATACACATCTGTTTAATTGTCAGGGAACAGAAGAAATCAGGAACACTATACAATCACCTTGGAGGAAGGAGGGCTGGACATTGGTGACTTTTTTGATAGAGTGAGAAAAGTGAGGAGGAGGCTATGACAGTAGCCCCCTTCATGGGCAGGTGGTCTGAGATAACAAGAGCACCCTGACTGTGACCCAGAGCATGAATTTGGAGCATATTTCCAGGAAACCCTGTAACAATGAAGTGTCCCTAAAAATTTGGTTTTCCCACAAAAATGGCTTCTGCCACTAAGCGGTTTAGAAATGCAGTGTCATTTAAGCTAAATAGATTTATGCCCTTATCACAAACCATTTGCAGGGAGCAATGCCTCTTGTACTTTGAACTTAGAGACTGCATTGTAAGCAAAAAAAAGAGAAGAGCTCTCATATACTAGAGACATGCTGACAGTAGCATTTGGTTTTGCTAAGCCCTCATTTGAATTTGGGAGCCTTCGTCCTCAATGTGGAGTGTTTTCACCTGTGTGGCTTTCTTCATGAAGAGCTCAGCAGAACCTTTTCAAAAAACCTGGATTCTTGGGAAACAGCATTGATAAAACCTATTTTAGGAGGAGATCATTCTAAAGGAGGCCTTTGAGCTGCCAGTACAGACTCTACTTGGGTCAGCTCTCTGTGAGATGAGTAATTGCAGCCACTTTGGTATTTGCAACCACCATTGCTGCTAAAGCAGAGCAAACTGTTGTGGCGGTCGCTCGGCATCTCAACAATATGTAAACACCCAAATCCTGAGCTTCCACTTTCCTTTTAATTAGTTCTCTTTTCTCACTCTGATGTCCTTGGGACTTGACCAGTTCACAGCAGTCAAGCACTGGAGCCTGAGACAACAGCGTATCCCCACGCCTGCCTGACCTGTGGCAGCTCCTGATGGAGAATGCCATGTACAAGATCCCAGCCTAGATCAAATCCTTATGGACAATTATTTTGCAACGTCTTTTACACATACTGGGTCTGATTGTATACATTTGTGTGTGCGTGTGTGTGCACTGTAAATATTTACATCCAAAGGCAGTGGGTCAGTGTGCCCAGCATTGCACATGGGTAATGATTCCAGTCTTCTGCTCAAGCAAGGGAACAATCAGTGCCTTGGAGAAGCCAGACAGCAGCATCACTTTAAGACACTGGTGGTTATCTGGTCTTGTGGGATACCTTCTCTGAGCAATAATTCAAGGACAGGATAGATCATGCTTCAATAAACAGAACTAGCTCCTAATTCCACCAGAAACTGAGAGGTTCTGGCTGTGAAGCCTAGGTGGTTCAAGGACTCGTGTTATTTCCTACAGCTCATGTCTTCATTATTCGCTGTAAAGGAAGCTGCCATAGTGAGTCAACGTCACCTAAATATTTCCATAGTGAAAATCCTCCGCACAATGCTGACTGGGAGCTCAGGGATCTTTTTATTAATCTAATTGTTTTATTATTATGGTAGCATCTGTGATCCCAAAGCATATTGACAAATTCTGATGGCAATTACGATAAAGACAATGGAAAGTATAGAGATAATCTCAGTTCTGGAGAAATTCCAGTGTAAATCATGTTCCCTCCGTACTGATGCCAGTTGCAGACATCTTTAGCTTAGTGTTCATGTTTTCTCTGAAGTCATAAATTCACTTGTACTGTTCATTTGTGAACAATATGGTCAAATCCATGTACCCCTGTGAAACAGCATGGTTTATCTCTCACAAAACAGTCTTTTCCCCAATATGCTGACTTATCTTAATGCATTTTTGAAACACCAAAGAGATAATGAAGCACTGTATAATCACAGTCCCAGATAAATATCAGCTGCCCAGAATATGCCAATGGGACTGCGAGAAAGGGCACAAGCATCCCACTGTCCTGCAGAACAAAAAGAAGGATTCTAAACGAAAAGGAAAAGCAAGAGGAAAAAAAATGAATGCCTATATATATAGTTTGGCTGCCATTAGCTGTCTTACCAGTCTTTTGTTTATCTGTGTGAATAGTCCCTGCAGCCCTGTGTCTCTGAAGTGCAGTGTTCTTCTATATACATTTAGAAATGCCCCAGACCATTGACCTTGTTTTGGTGGGTTTACCTGAGGTATTATTAAAGGCTGGTCCTTTTTTTTTCTCCCTCTTTGAAGACTGATTGTTTATAAGGACACCCTGGATATTAAATGAAAGGCACAAAACCTTAATCCTTTACTCCTGCCCTTCAAAAATAAAAGTCTCACTGATACAAGTAAGCACTGAATAAAGCAAAGCTGTCAGCAGCTGGGGGACTATCATAAATTTCATTTGTGTTGTTTCTTCATGGGTTTGGGAGTTGGACTTTTATTTAGTTAAAGCAAATATTAGCATTCAATGCTTTCCTCAAGCAGTCTCTTCTTTTCTGGGAATTTTGAATCCGAAGGGTACCTTATACAGGACTCAGAGGTTAATTTGTTCCTGCTGGTCAAATCTGTGTAACGTGACCACTTGTAAAGCTGATGGCACATCTTGATAAGTTTATTTCAAAGGTCTTAATGAATACTTGGCTTCACTTAAATTGTCCTAGAACTTTTCATTACGTCCCTGGGATATGGTACTTTTAATTATTGTTCTTTGAAATTGAGGGCAGGTGTTTTACTTACTGTATTAGCAAGGCCTTTATGCTTAAAGGGGAAACAGCAGAAACTACATACCAAAATAATGATGGAGTTACGCTTTCTTGGAGGACAGACTCTGAGGCAGGGATATAAATAAGCATGCCTGATTGATGTCTAGATGTTTGCAGGTACAAAGAACCCCATAGAGCAGGAATAAAGTAGAAAACAGGCTGTCTGTGAAACCTGCAATAAGCTCAGCTTTCTCCCTGGTCAAATGGCTGGTTTTTCACAAAGATATTGGACCAGACAGTGTGGAAAGAGTGGTGGGGAACCTGTTTTCCTTGTTGAGAACCATTATTGGTTTAGGCTGGCCACTTCTTTTAAGATGAAGTTTGACTATGGCTAAACATTCACTGAAAGTACATTTCAAGTTTGAGATTTAGCAGAATGGGGAACGTACACATG